CCCCCCCCCCCCGGACAAACCCCCACTTCCCTCTCCGCCTCCAGGCACACCCCTGCGGTGGTCCCTGCAGGCCAGGGTGAGGGTTTCAACTTCTCCCCAATCATACTTAGTGGCCTGCTGGGGACTGGCCACCCCCACCCCCCATCAGCTTCTTTCTAGCCTTGCAACTGCTGCCAAAGGGAAGGGAGGGCTTGCTCTAGCATCCCCTTCCACCTCTCCCCCTGCCCCCCCTCGGCTTCTAGCTTGAGCCACTGCAGGCACATGACTACATTTTAGGAATCAAAAGTTAGTGTCTATTCACTTGCAAATTGTTTCAATCTACGTAGGTTAGACTAACCTGCAAAGATTGAATCAATTCAGCTCGGGCTTTTTGAATGTCTTTACTTAACCCTGGACAACAGTGGGTATTCGTTGCTGCCCTTCTCTGGAGGGTGGTGGCATGTCAAAAAGCCCATTGCTGCCCCAGACCTGGACCTCCTTGAGCTTTCCCTGAGCTGTCACAGTGTGCTGGGGCAGCAGTGGCTCCTTGCTGTGCTCCCACTTCTGCCCTTAAAGATAGTGGGGATCTGTAGCTCTGCCTGCCTGGAAGCATCCCCACTGGAAGCAGTGAGTTGCTCTTGAGTCTGCTACAGTGCTGAAATGGAGCTGTAGCTCTGTTTGCTTCCTTGTCCTCATAGGGTATGGAGAAAGCTGGTAGGAAGCCTTTCTTCTGCCTCCAAACTGACAGCTGCTGCTCTGTTCACCTACTTTCTCCCTGCTACTTACATGCCAGTTGTCAAGAACACTGATTGCTGGGCACAGATGTTCACTGATCACTGGCAGTCATCCTGCTGGTCTTTCTTCCCTGGAAGAGGTTAGGGTGTAAGCTGTCAGTGATTGGGCTCCTTTTCAGGGACCAGAGGAGCAAGTCTCTATTCCCCCCCAGCTGATGACTTTGTAACACTGATGGCAAAGGGATTGTGAATGCATAGCACTATATTTTTGTATGAATGTCTATCCACGGTCTGAGATATACTGAGAACAATCCTGAAATTTTCATGGAAGATCCTCTTTGTGCAGTGGGGATGCAAAATTGGTGTCAATGAGATATTTGGTTGTAGAAGATTTTGCTGATGTGGGTTGTAAACTGCACAAGGAAGATGCTGATGTCAGCTGTAAACTGCAGAAAGACAAAATTATTTTAGAAGATTTTTTTTTAATATAATCCAAACACCTGTGACAATTCAAGAAAAATGGTTGAGAATAGCTTATACCTAAAACAAGTTTACAAGAAGAATTTGGCCATAAATTAGTTTTATTATCCAACTGTTGATTGGGCCTTTAATACACACATTTTAAGAAGAGGTAAATATTTCTTGAAGTACTGAGGATTATTGCTGCTCAGGAATTTTAGAATAAACTTCAAATTTCAGCAGAAAATGTTGATTTGTTGAAAATCACAAATGTTTGAAAATAGATATGTTTTGGTGAACTTCCACTAAAATCCAGGTAGTAGTTGGGTGTAACCAGCCAAACAGATTTCTGCCAAAAACCTACCAGCTCATCTAGAAGGTTGCTCAGAAACTCGGGTTCCCCGGGTCTGTTTGTCTCGAGTATACCCGCCATTCATTCAGATGGCCTTGGGACTGAGGAAAGTTCTGTGCTTTCTGGATCAGCTGCTTCCACGCTCAGGAAATCTGGAAACCCCTGATGTCCCTGATTAAGGGCACTTCACATGGCAGGGTTGCCTTGGAACCCTGGAAACCCCCCACAGTTGCTGAGGCATATCAACAACACTCAAATTCATCTCATTTAGCAGCTGCCTATATCTCTGGGGCTAGGGACAGACATTCAAAAAGCCTGAGCCTGAATCCATACAATCTTTGCAGGTTAGTTTAACTTGCATAGATTGAACCAATTTGCAAGTGAATAGACATTCACTTTTGATTTCGAAAATGCAGGCACATGCCTGCAGTGGCTTAGGCTAGAGGCTGTGAGGTGGGGGAACGCTGAGTGAGCCCTTGGTTGAAGGGAAACTGAACTGAGGTGGGGGGCATTGGCAGGCCTCTGCAGGCCTGAGTGTGACTGGGGAGGTGTTTAAACCCTGACTCTGACCTAGCTGGTGTGTGTCTGGAGTGGGAGGGGAGAAGCAGCCCCTACCAGGTTTCCCCAGCCCCACATCCCCATTCATTTGTTCACTGCTCCAGTGGCAGGAGTGGGAGCATGGCCAGACCCCAGTAGCCTGAAGAGAAGCGGGGTTTCAATCCCCCCACTGGGGAGGGGGTTGGCGCAGGCACTGATTGGCTGTGCTCATGCCCCTGGGGCCACGGTGGCAAGAGGAGTGGTGTGGGTACCACCACAGCACAGTCTCTGTCCCATGCTAAAAATCCCCTCAAGCAAGGCCTGTGCTGCAATGCCTGGGCCAAGTTCCTCAGAGGAGCGGTGAGTGGCTCCCAAGGGTGAGGCGGGTTGAGCTGTGGGTGGGGGGATGTGACCTGGCTTCATGTGTGGGGGGGAGAGGGCAGAGGCAGCTGGGGCTAATTATGGAGCCCGACTCACCACTGCATCTTGCTGCTGCATGGGGGCTGCAGTTTGCAGACAGACTGCAGCTGGAGTCTGGTTCCTTGCCCCCCTCCCTCTCCCAGCAGCGGCAGTGGAGTGATCCATCATGGCAGGCAGAGGTGAGGGGCACCGGGCACCTGTCACCTACTTGCAGTGGTGCCAGGTACTTAGGGCGGGCTGCTGTGGGCCAGGGGCATGGGCAGTGGCAGGGGAAGGCAATAGACTGCCACAGCCTGGTATGGCCTGGCCCTGCAGTGTGTGCAACAACTGGCTTGCAGCAACCTGCCCCAAGCACCTGGCACCACCACAAGCAGGCACTGCAATGGCTCGCTCTGCTGCAGGTGGCACTGCCAGGAGGTGGGAGGCGGGGAAGGAGTGGCACTTCAGCTACAATTTGCCTATAAACTGCAGCTCCTGCATGGGGCTAGAGGCAGGAGGTAGCAGGTGCTGACCCCCACCTCCTGGGGCCACCCTAGCCTGGGCTGCACTGCTGCAGCAAGAGGCAGCAGTGAGTTGGGCTTCATGATTACGAGTGAGTTGATGCAGCAGTTTTAGTTGCACAGCATTATTTACATTTTACTTTTGTCTGAGAATTACCGGTTTAGTTACTCCTAGATGTCATCCTTTCTGTGGACTCGATTTTCTTGTAGCTATTTTGCCAACCCAAAGAGAAATCTCTCCAGCTAGTGTAATAAGGAGGGGAAAACTTAGTCTGAAGTTATGAAGATTCTTGATCTTGTTGACTCTTTGCTTAGCTTGTTGCTACTGTAGATTTCTAAACCATGAAATCTAAACTTTATATATATTTTACCTAGTGCCAAGGTCGATAGAGCATCCTAAATGGGACTGGCGGACAAAAACAGAGAGCCGTGATTTTGATGAATTAAATCATATTCTACAGGAGAGTAAGAAGCTGGGGAAAGCCCTTGAGAATCTCTCTCGCAGTAAGTGGATTGATTTACAATTTTAATGCCATCACGTTAAGCAATATGCATTTCAATAGTATACTATGCGTATATACTAAGAGGATGTTGTTCTTTTTCTTGTTTATAATGGTGTCATTTAGGAGTGACCACTATTCAGTTAAGTTTTGTGAAGGATTTTAAATTTGCTGTAAGACTTTCTCTAATACCTTTGATTCTAGGTTTGGGTTTGGGGGTAGGTAATCTTATCAAATTACTGGGAGTGGGTGGTATGGTTGCATTTCCCAGTTAATTTCTCCTTCACCATTTTGTGGTGAAAGAGATCCTTGATATTCTATGAGCATACCTTTTCTTTGCCATTGTTTCATTTTCTGTTGGTATAACCAATAGCATTCTGTATTATAACTCTATGTGGCTAGCTGATAACCTAGCTATGTCCTTTCTGTAGTTGGGGACCCAAAACTGGACCCAGTTCTCCAGATGTAGCTTCACCAGTGCCAAATAGAGGGGAATAATCACGTCCCTTGATCTGCTGGCAACACTTATACTAATGAAGCCCAGCATGCTGTTAGCCTTTGCAACAAGGGCACACTGTTTGCTCATATTTAGCTTATTATCCACTGTAACATCCAGGTCCTTTTCTGCAGAGCTGCTGCTTAGCCAGTCAGTCCCCAGCCTGTAGTGGTGCATGGAATTGTTCCAGCCTAAGTGCAGGACTTTGCACTTGTCCTTCTTGACCTTCATGAGATTCCTTTTGGTCCAATCCTCCAAGTTGTCTAGGTCTCTCTGAATCCTAGCCCTACCCTTCCCCCCAGCTTGGTGTCATTTGCAAACTTGCTGAGGGTACACTCCATACTATCTTCCAGGTTGTTGATGAAGATTCTCTGGGCAATCTGGTGGTTGCACCAGAGGAGAAAGCAGACCTCTTTAACCAATTCTTCACCTCCATTTTCTTGTCCATGATGCAAGACGGACTCGAGGGGAACGCCTCCAGACCTCAGGTTGGGGAGGACTGGGTTAGAGAGCTTCTGGAGGGGCTGGACGTGTTCAAATCAGCGGGTCCAGATGCTCTCCACCCCAGGGTGTTGAGGGAGCTAGCAGGGGTTATTGCAGGGCCCTTGGCATGGCTTTACGAGCACGCATGGTGCTCAGGCCAGGTGCCGGATGATTGGAAGATAGCCAACGTGGTC